CTTCAATGGGGTTCCCACATGGGGTTAATTCTATTTATGTGTTTGTTGGTGTGTAAGTAAGTGTCCTGTGCGCGCTCTGAAAATCAAAGTCTGATCAGCTCTACATAAGAGATTCGATGAGTCTTTGGGGTTGGGTTTGTCCATGTACCCGAAAAGAGATCTTCCTGTTTCTGCGTTGGCCCATATGTTTAGCCACTCGTCTATGCAACTTTGTTTTGTAGAACTTTCATTTCATTTTTAGGAGCAATATTTTGTTTTATTTTGAGTGGAAGTTCTAAGCCAGTACTATTATTACTGTATCCTTGAAGAGACTGAGAACCCTTCTCACTCAAAAGCCAAAATGCAAGTAGCACGTCCTAGTATGGTACAAAACATTTCTTTGTTGTAACATCATGGAAACATTTGCCCACACATTCGTGTCCATAATCCCTCAAAATGGCACGATTTGATTCAATGCTTGGCACACTATGTCAAGGTCACTGTCTGAAGTTTTTTTTTTCTCCCAATCACTAAGGAAGCATATGTGAGGCAGCGTAGTGGAATCAGGCTCTCGTCAAAATAATCAAAGTGAAGAAACTTGCATTTTTCCACAGGTTTGTGAATTTTCATCAAATTTTTGTTTTTTGGCTCAACACCTTTCATGTCCATTAAAGAACTCATTTCTGTGTGGCTTTTTTTGAAAAACGTTGATTGAAGGCACAAAAAATGTAAATTTTCAGTTACCACGGACTCTAAAGCTAAGGAAATAACTAATCTTTAGCAGTCATTTTCTCACTAATTTTACCCCTGAAAAAAGGTGACCCCACCTCCTTCATTCGCAAATATCTCGACTTGTATTCAAGATAAATGGATATATTTTTCATCCAAATAAAGACAACTGAACAAGCTTTAAGATGATACGAATAACTCTACATGCCCAAAAATTGACGAGAGCCTGATTCCACCACGCTGCCTCACATATTAAAGAGTCGGATTTGGTACCTGGAATATTCTCTCTCTCTCTCTCTCTCTCTCTCTCTCTCTCTCTCTCTCTCTCGGGAACATAATTAAAATTCGCATAGAAAAAGCAGAGAAACAGAGGGGACATAAAAATAAATTAACTTCGAGAGAATGGCGAATACAGTTGCATAAAAACTTGGCAACACTAGGATACTGCTGCAGATACATGCAAAGACTTCACATCTACAACTGTTTTTTGTGGAAGTGGGGATAGGGGGAAGAAAAGGGGTGATCCATGGCGGCCTGTGTTCCTTATATACATGGAGAGAGAGAGAGAGAGAGAGAGAGAGAGAGAGAGAGAGAGAGAGAGAGAGAGAGAGAGAAAGAGAGAGAAAGAGAGAGAGAGGGAGGGGGGGAGGCGCAAAGAAAGAGACAGAAAGGAAAAGAGAAAAAGGTGGGCGGGTGTAGGGGGTGGGGGGGCGAGGGAAGAACCAACGTCTTGACTGTCCGTGTCTAATAACCAATTACCAGTTACTTTAAAGCGTACTATCTATGAATGTGGGGGAGGCCTAGACAGATGTCAAAAGGTGGGGGAGAGGAACTCTGAGTGGGATGTACTTTTCTGTTGGCATCCTTATGGAAATTCAAGTACTCAACTTTAAAATAACCCTACACTGCGTCTAATCGGGGGTTTAACAACACATATAGGAACAGCAAACAGAGATGTGGGCGAAATCAGTTGTGTCCATAACAGTCAGTAAATTCTAACACTTGTTAACGCCGAATAATCTCTGCAAAGGCGTCACTGAATCTGGACCAGAATCAATATCTGTCCATTTGCCATTCCCAAATCTGTTTATCTCGGTGAATGTTGAAAGAAGATAATCGGTAGTACTACACAAGTGCGTTTCTCCGATGTGAGTTAATTACGTACATAGTTAAATGCAATCAAAGAGTCAAAGCGTAGTAAAGGTATGATCATGACTTAAAGTACATGTATTCGTAACACTGTCAAATATTGAGACATTTTGATCAAAGATTTAAACTGTGGCTTTGGAGAAAGTGAGCTGTTTTTCATTTGGCAGCGTCGGTTTAAAACTTGAAAGAAAATTCAAGCCTGCAACACACTTACATTATTTGAGCTGAGTATTTGTCGTTCTCGGAAACGTACACAAAATTAATACAGACATTTGTAAGAGGAAACTCTTCCCACTCACTATATTGTCTTTTCTTAGTGGAGCTAACGTAACGAACATAGGATGTTCTCGTCAACCTTTTCCGAGCTGCAGAACAAAATAATTTTGTTCCCATCAAGTTTTCTGTGGTTTTGACCTTCGTTTCAAGACAGAATGGTATAGATCTACACAAACAGCTAAGAGTAAAACCACTTACGGCATTGTGGAGTGCTCTTGCAACACAGACACGAAAGTTATCATAAAAAGTAGACTTTGCATTACCTTTTTACCTGCTGAAATAAACCGAGAGATGCACTTTCAAAACACATGAATCAGACCTTGCCCACAGTTAGATAATTTACACTTGTTGCACGCCACGATTATGCAAATGGGGAAAAAATTGCTCTTTCGCTTTTCTCACCGCAAGGTAAGGTCAGACTTCAGCTCGATTTTACCTTAAATGTACATTGAAAAGAAAATCCTGACCCTTAAGTAATAGTACACTTTTTAAAGAGGCTTTTGCACTCATACCTTACCGCACTATAATATACTGTTTAATACCATACCACACCATACCCTACCCTACCATGAGAAGCAGTAAGTTGTTAAGGCCTTTGCTTCTCACCCCAACACTTGGGATTCCATTATGGCGGTACGTCAACCCGGGGTCGAAACACCCTAGCATAATGATCATGCATTTTTCTGCCCC